ATAACACAGGCTTTAGTGTTAAGACTATTGGTATAACCACTTCATAAAATACTCCAAAACCACTGACCTTGAAAATGAAAATCTAAGCTTCAAAACATTCAATCATTTGATCTGCAAACTACTGGCATCACAGTGTAGTCTTAGCAAAGAGGTACTTTTCCTTTTGGAAAACAATGGCTTTTCCCAAAGCTTTAGGATTGTCTCTTTAAGCCAACAAACCCTCAAAGATCTCCAATCTCCCCATAGACCATGACAGCTTCAGCTAGCACTTGGAGATCAGAGGGCTGCTGAAATGAACACCCTTAGGAATGCCAAGGCAAATTTCACCCCACTTAAATTTCAAATCCACTTTATAAAAGAAAACGCAAGTAGTAAGCATGGCCCGACAACAGAGAACTTATTCAACCATTATACCTTTTAGGCTTAATGTCAAGCTGCGTATATCTGTGTCTAAAATACCTCATAAAACACAAAAAGACATGGAGTACTACCCCGGGATGCAACTCTTCGGCATTTCTGATGTCAGCGAGAAATTTATGCATTTCTTATCTGCCTGCTTTTTATGCCTTGTCTTTGATTTTCTTTTTTATGGGACAGATTTTTGGATAACCCTCATAGGAAATATGAACAACATCCAAAACAACAGACTCTTGCATGACACAAAAATTGAATGCAGGATTGTGTATTAAGACAAACAGGTGTGAGGAGCCCAGAGGAAAATTCTCAACGTTGTTTATCGGTTTTCTCAGTTCTCTGGTAATCTGCAGAGCACTGTCCACATGATGCCATATATCAATAATTAGTCACATAATTATTTAAACACATTCCTTATTCTGGAGTGAAATGGTAAAGACCAGAAACGACATATTATATATGAAGCGAGATATGAAGTGTACTGTAAGATGTTTTAGTGTACACACGTTCAAAACACAAAATAGTTCATGCAAATATATATATATATATATATTTTTTTTTTCTAACATGTTTACATAATTTGTTCTTATAATTTTATTTATAATATTTTATGCAAATTACTTTATAATAAACCAGGACCTACAATAATCATAAAATGCAATTATCAACAATAAAAATATTTTTTTGGTACTCATTTGGTACCAATATATCATGCATCCCTAAAAAAAATATAGGTAACACTTTACAATAAGGTTTCATTTGTTAACATTAGTTAACTACATTAGTTAACATGAACTACATTAGTGAACGTGAATGATGAAAAAAACTTTTAAAGCATTTATTAATCTTAGTAATTGTTTAATAAAGTTTAATAAATACTATAACAAATGTATTGCTCAATGTTAGTTATTGTGAGTTAATGCATTGACTAACTTTAACTGATAGGAACTTATTGTAAAGTGCTACCAAAATATCAATACATTGACCTAAACTATAAATTCAATATAGTGGGAGAAAAAAAAAAAGATTTAAATTAATGATACATTTTTTTTTTTTACTATAAGCAGAGACCAAAATAAGAGGGATATTTTTTATGTAGTACATATAACTACCTAAGTAGTGTTTTTACCATCAGAGTCTGTTTGGTCCCTGTTGGAAACTAGTCTGCAGTTATCCCGGTCATCAGGAATGCCATCATTATCATCATCAAAATCACAAGCATCTCCTTTCCCATCTCCGTCGTGGTCGGCTTGGTTAGCATTGGCTATGTATGGGCAGTTATCCATGTTATTTTGATGGCCATCTTCATCTATGTCCTGGTTGTCATCACACTGGTCTCCAATTAGATCATTATCTGCATCCGTCTGCAAAAACAAAATGGTACATTCGTTAAAAAAATTAATAAAGATGTTTAAAAACTGCAAAAGCACTCAGTTTCCATTTTCCTCCATACCTGTTGTGGGTTGTGAACTAAGGGGCAGTTATCACACTGGTCTCCGACACCATCTAAATCTGTGTCTTTCTGGTCTGTGTTGTAAATGAGAGGGCAGTTGTCTCGCTCGTTTAGAATCTCTAAGAGCAGAAATAAGAAAAGGACGTGAATCACATCTGTTGCAATCCAAAATGGGTCACATGGATTATAAATGAGGATCAAGGCTTTTTGTACCATCTCCATCCATATCAATAGAACAGGCATCTCCTTCCCCATTGTTGTCGGTGTCGGTCTGAGCAGGGTTATGCTCATACGGGCAGTTATCGCAACGGTCTCCAACATCATCCTTGTCATAGTCATACTGCCTGGGATTATACATCAGGGGGCAGTTGTCCTGGAAGGAATGTCATATACATGTGTCTATATGCACACACTCTATTATATACATCAGTAGCATGAAGACAAGTCCATAAACCTCACATGTACTAAATCTGCCTTACCCTTTCATCCACAATTTCATCATTATCATCATCTTTGTCACAAGCATCTCCTTGCCCATCATTGTCAAAGTCCTCCTGACCAGAGTTGGGTAAAGTCGGACAGTTGTCCTGCAGAGATTGCAAAATAAAGTTAAAAGTTAATTGCAGAAACACAGGCCTGTTTCACAGGCCTAAGCATAAGCAGTGCGTATTGATTTGTAAAAATCATAATCTGGCTCTTGTGAGCAAATCGAAGCCAAAAACTGAAGACTACTAAAATGCGACTTAATGTCTATTAATGAAAGCATCTGTCGCAATCTGTACATCTTCCTGAGTGGAAGATTTAGCATTAGAAATTATGTTCTTCTCTCCTGAACTGCATGTGGTGACACATCTGTGGAATTTATCAAAATAAGCCACCACAACAAAACAATGAATAACAAAATAACGATTTTGTTTTTTTGTTTAATAATATATATGAACTTTCTATTCATCACACAACCCTGAAAAAAAATGTATCATGGTTTCCACAAAAACATTAAGCAGCACAACTGCTTACAAACATTGATAATAATATGAAATGTTTCTTGAGCACCAAATCAACATATTAGAATTATTTCTGAAGGATCATGTGACTGGAGTAATGGCTGCTGAACATTCAGCTTAGCCATCACAGGATTAAATTACATTTTAAAATAAAGAAAACAGAAAACAGTTATTTAATATTGTAATAATTTTTCCACAATATTACTGTTTTTACTGTATTTTTAAACAAATATATGCAATATTGATGAGTATAAGAGACTTCTTACAAAAACCTTTGAATGATTGTTTATATATACATAAATTATTATAACTAAGATTTTTTTTCATGAAATGATTCTGGAAGCAATTCTTTTTTTGTGTGCAGTGTGAAACAAGGCCTTATTCCAGAAATCTGACACTATAGTTATTCATATCAAATGAACTACATCAAATCACCCACATACAGTACTAGGAATTTCAAGCTTCTTTTGCTATGATATCTCAATTCTTCATTCTGTGCATTACCAATATTTTCCTTTATTTATTATGTGCACATATTTTATCCTTTATTGCTTTCTCACTTGCTCTCTTTGCTTCCCAGGCTTCAGATATATGATGTCTTGCAGATTCTGGTCCTGGTTTTTCTCCACGGTGTATCATGACATAATCAAGCAATTATTCATCACAGGAGAAGAATGATGTAATTATTACTTTTTCTCTCCCTCCCTTTGGCTAAACACTTCACCACAAAGACATTTAAGGGATATAAAATATACCATTCCAAGAGACACGAAAGACAAGTAAACACTGGGCCAAATCAAAACACTCCTCTAGTTCATGGTCACTAGGCCCCCTGCCTGACTTGATGCCATTGTCCTATGTGGTTTATTAAGGTGAAACAATATTTCTTTCCATTTTATATTCCTTAGAAACCTTCTCATAGCAGTCCTCGGCTAAACCTTAAAGGAGACATATTATGCCCCTCTTTACAATATGTAATATAAGTCTCTGGTGTCCCCAGAATGTGTTTGTGAAGTTTCAGCTCAAAATACCCCACAGATAATTTATTATATCATTTTGAAAATGCCTATTTTGAGTGGAAGCAGAAACACGCTGTTTTTCGAGCCTGTCTCTTTAAATGCAAATGAGCTGCTGCTCCCCGCCCCTTTTCTACAATAGAGCTGCCATTACAGCTCGGACCTGCTAAAAACATCTGTTTTGGTTCTGATTATCATGTTTATCGCGCTGAAATCATGCGGTTTAAACCATATGAGTTTAAACTTCTGATATACGGTTTTCTGAGAGCACACATCCGAAGCACACGGATAGAAAGCGGCTGTCACAGCATGTGAGTACTAAACTAAGTTCTCATTCACACATAAGTTTACGTTAAAAACACACGAGTTACAAAAACAGTCGGTTATGTCTGTGAAGGTAAACTGCTGGGAAATAAATTGCATGTTTATTTTAGATCTGTGTGGCAGCAGCAATATACAGTAAATAAATCAATAAATCCACTGCTTTCTTGTGTCCTCTAAGGCTGGGACTCAATAGTGTTCTGTGCTCGTCTGTGCAGCAAAAGACAGAACAGTTAGCATGTTTTGCTCAAACTTTCGCCATAGACTAAATAAAAAGTGTGCGCCTCATTGTGCATTAACTTGAATCAAGCCCAACAAATGTCTGTTTTAAAAACAGTGGATGAGTAATTCACTCCTTGATTTGCTTAATAAAAGCCTCCTTTGAGATCGTTTTGACATGTTTATTGTGCATTTTAAATGTGTTTATTGCTAAGTTTAGTGTGGCAAAATAGAAGCAAAGCTGTAATTCGTGGGCAATGTATGTGGTTACCATGACAACCTCACGCACTTGCCACTGCTCTGTGAATGTGAATATGTAGATTTACTATAGCAAAACTAAAATGTGTTTAAAAGTACGTCTGACCAAATCCACCAGTTTGGTTTGGCCCCCCCAAACTCAAACGTCAAGCTATGCCTATTGTCACTAAGGGAGCGAAATCAGACGCGCTCGTTTTCTCAGACGCTTGCAGAAAAAGGCTTACTAAAACAAAGTTACTGGGTTAATCTTCTTCACCTTTCCTTAGTTCGTATGCACCGGGGACCTGATCATAGCACTTAAAACCTGGAAAAGTCAGATTTTCATGATGTCACCTTTAAGGTCTGGCTTGCATTAAATTGAACCAGTAGAGCCAGCAGAGTTTGCTTTACTCTTAACATTTTGTCTTCAATATATTCACATGTTCTATACATTTTCCCTATTAAATTGACATATAATTCCGAATGGAGGGCATCACACTGATTAATGTAGTAATGTAGTACCTTTTTGCAATGGTAGGTGGCATTTGCTCCACACACAAGATCTTGGTTGGGCCATCCATCCAGATCAAAGTCCTCTCCACAGATGATGCCATCTCCAGCATAACCAATACGGCATTCACACTTGTACATCGGGTCACTGAAGTGACTAAGGAAGATGCATTCAGCATACTTGTGGCAACTGTGGCTGTTGTCCTTGCAGGGGTTGTAGGGTTCACACATCTATTCATAGGGGGGAAAAAACAACAGATATTGAAACTTTGTCTATTTAAACACACATGACCCAGAACTTTGAGAACTCAATGTTGAAGGTATATGTTGGGAGGATGGATGTAAATTAGCCGCTTGGTAAGTGGTATGCGGAGTGATGTACAGTGGGTACGGAAAGTATTCAGACCCCCTTAAATTGTGTGTACATTAATGAGGAAAAAAAATTAACTTAAATGATTTTAGCAAATGGCTGCAATATAACAAAGAGTGAAAAATTTAAGGGGGTCTGAATACTTTCCGTACCCACTGTATATATGACTGACCTGTTTGTTGGTTTTAGCTGACTCCACTCCCATGCCATAGGGCTGAGTCCCTTTGTAGCGCGGGGGGCAGGGGAGACAGTGGAATCCGGGTTCTGTATTCACACATTGCTGTAGGCCACCCACCTTATGACACAGATCTGATACCATATCGCACTGCACACCGCAGAATGCAAAGGAAGCAAAAAAGAGAGAAAGAGAAAAGGATCAGAAGCATCAGGTGGTTGGCATGTTAAAATAACTGACCTCCTAGTCTCCATGATATTCTGATGTCTGGATATGGCTTTTGGTTCCTTTTTCAATGTAAATATATGTGACTAAACAGACAGCTGTTTGGTTTGAAACCTTAACATGCCAATTTTAATACTTAGGGTTACAAGTTTGTTCAGAAGTAAGTATTTTGATGTAATTAGTCTGTATGATTTTGCTCACCTCATTGACATCTTCACAGGAAGTTCCATTGCCACGGTAACCATTTGGGCAGGGTCCACATTCCCAGGATCCATCAGAAGCTGTGATACACTCGACTCCGGAGAAGCAAGGGTTCGAAAGACAGCCATCTGTAAAATCAACACAGCACTCGTTTTAGTGTAAAACATCACATATTATTTTTTCTTACTTAATTTCTGTGTTTAATGCTGAGAAAATTTTAGGAGGTTGAAAGGGAAAAACACTGTAAAAGGGCATATATGCAACATATTTTGTTCACAAGTTTGTTTTTCTTACCAATAGGACACTCCTGTCGGTTGCATACTTCATTTTCAATGGAGTCTCCAAGACACTTCCGTCCTCCATGCTGTGGTTCAGGGCTGTTACACTCCCTAACACGACTCTTCAGACCCCCTCCACATGTAGCTGAACATTTTGTCCAAGGAGACCATGGACCCCAGCCACCATCAACTAAATGGGACAACATGGGTAATATTTCCGTCCTATTAGATATCCCACCCCAAATGTTTGATGCACAAATCTGTTTGTAGCGACTCAGTGCCCCCTGAGGGCATCTACAGCATCTGTTTTGTGACCTTATGAAATTAATGTTTATATAATTGTATAATATAAAGTACTATGCTGTTTTTAATGTGACAAAGTCCATCTGCTTGTTATTCCGTTTTTGTTTTGTATTAAACTGGTTATTTAATTTTATTGTGCCATTGTTCAGCTTATGCAATTTTAAGAGAACACAACACAGATATTCTAGTGCAGACTTCAAAGAACTGATAATGATGTAATGAAACTAATAAAACTAGCTAAAAACCATTTTTAGATATGGATTAACTTGGTTTGTTATGTAATGCCTCCAATGTGTGCTTGCACATTCCTGGCTCATGTGGAAATAACACATAAACACCCCAAATAAGCAGGCACAATACACATAGCTTGCCCTCTTCTGGCACTGAAAGTTAGCCCATATCCTGAACATTCAATAGCCCCTGATAAAACAAAAAATTCAGGGTGTTCCCAGTCATCTGCTATGTCTCTGATGTGAATGTCATTCATTTTGCATGACATGAGCATTTTGCCATAATTCTCTGATTGAACAAATTGCCCAAATTTGTGTACCCTCCCTGGTCTAATGATAATATAAGCCCTGGAAAGAATGACATCATCCTCTCAATGTTTTCCAGTTAAGATCTGAACAGCAGGGTGAATGAGATGGTTTCTAAATGAGCATGTGTGTGGTTGTGCTCAAATTGGGGTTGAGCTTTAAGTTTTGCAGGGTTGTCAATGTCACATTTTTTCAAATGCAGCTAACACATTTTTCAATTTGACGTTAAATATAACAGTGGTGATTAAATATGCAGTACTCACTCGGACAGGGGTCTGTGTTGCAGCTCTGTGTCTCTCGTCCATCACCTTCACAGTCCTTTCCACCTCTTTGTGGAACAGGAGCATTGCAGTGGCGGATACGTGTGATCAGTCCCTCTCCACACGTCACTGAGCAGGATGACCACGGAGACCATAAGCTCCAGCCACCATCCTGACGAACTGTTAGTGCAAAACACAATGTTACTATAAGCATGCTACAATGATTCACTACCAGCTATCACACATACAGTGGTTGTATTCATACCTCTGCGGTCACATTTTCCCAAACTGCACTTGCGTGTCTGAATCGAGGGTCCAGAACATGCATTGCTTGTGTCATCACAAGAGCGCCCCCTCTGTTGAGTGCCACTTCCACATGTGACTGTGCACTGAGTCCACTCTGACCATGGAGACCAGCCATCCTCACTGTCCATTGCTAGCCAAAAAAATATACAACATCATAAGAAAATGTGCAAATATATTATACTATATATAAATATATAGCATGTTTTTAGGACCGTACAATATTTAAATACACAAAAGGTTGGAGTCTGTAAGACAGAAGTCTCTTTTAGGCTTATTAAGTACATTTATTTGATAAAAAAATACAGTAAAAACAGTAATATTGTGACATATTATTACAATTTAAAATAACTTTTCTTTTAATATATTTTTAAAAATGTAATTTATTCCTGTGATGGCCAAGCTGAATTATCAGCAGCCATTACACCAGTCTTCACTGCCACATGATCCTTCAGAAATCATTCTAATAGGCTGATTTAATAATCAAGAAACATTTTTTATAATTATCATTTTATTTATTTATTTATTTCTTGTTGAAAACAGTTGTGCTGCTTAATATTTTTGTGGAAACTACAATACATTTTTTCAGGATTATTCGATGAATAGAAAGTATTAAACAAAGTAATTTATATGAAATATAAATCATTTGTTACTTTATAAATGTCTTTACTGTCACTTTTGATCAGTTTAATGCATTCGTTCTGAATAAAAGTATGCATTTTTTTATTTTATTTTCATATTTTTTTTCTAAATAAAGTATATTAAAACTATTTCAATTTTGTTACCAAAGACATAAATAAAGACTGTAAAACACAGACAAATTTGGTTGTAATGTATCTCTGTTTGTGCATCCATTTACGAAGGCAAACTGGACAGCATTCGCCATCGATGAAGGATGGATTGGCACATGCCACTGGAGGACAAGTGATCTGACGACAAACAACTTTTCCTTCTTGGCAGGTACATTTAGTACAGCTATCCACAATCCAGTCCTCTTTGTCCTCAAACATACGACCATCTTGCCAACACATAGTCTGCTCCGAAAGACTCTGCATCTTATTTAGTGCCTCCTTCATCGCCATGTTTTCTTCTGTCTAAAAAGTCAGTTTGAAATGAATCACACAGTTGTTCATCTTCATGCTGCAATGAGACATCATTCAGTCTTTCCACACATTCAAAGATGACCAGCAGTCAAAATAACTATACATTTTCACGCATTGAAAATTTTAGATGTTTTCCAACAGAAAACGTCTAACACAGTGATTTACTGAGCTCACATTCAAGCCACAGTTATGTGGGTAGATACCAAATTATGTGCCCACAAACATAACTGCCCTCGCATTTTTTAAACATCTGACAAAATCAGTTAACTTCAACAATATGGCATGCTACATCTGCGTGTTAGATCTTTGAGGTAAGGTTAGCTTCTCTTTTCTAAATTACAGAAGTTATACAGTAGGTGCACAGTCTTGTTTAGGCCTGTTTAGGCGTAGGATAGCACAGGTTACAAAGCAACACAACAGGACTCACCACTTTCTGCAGACCATCTATGAGGTTGCTAACGACAACTCTGAGACCCTTGAGCTCCTGGAAGAGGTTGGCCAGTTCTTCACAGGAACGTTCACACATCAGTTCTGAGGAGCTGGTTGCTGGAACATCTGTATTCTGGCCAATCACGTTGATGGCAATTGAAGATGGAACCTCCACCTCCACCTCCTCTTCACTCTCGCTGACTACATTCACCTCCACTGAGGAAAGAAAGAGAGAAGAAATTCTGATTAGTTTTGCGTGATGAACAGACCAGTACCTCATGAATCCAGCCTGGGTGAGCATAAGACACGTTCTACCATCCCAAACATTTGAAGTAGTGTATACTACAATATCCAACATTTAAGATACTGATCTTAAATCAGATCACTGCAAAAAGCAGTGCAAATGAGCAAGATCTGGAAAACAAAAACAAAAACAAAAAAAGAAAATTGCATCGGTCATTGGTCACAGAACTGGTTAAGCGAATGTTGTGTCAGGTTGGTTGAGATGTTTTGATAGAGCCACAGAGTTTACACTTTTCAGAGAAACCACACACTACAAATGGCTTACTTATAGTAATTTGAGCAAGGTGGGATAAGAGAAAGTCTTATAATGTCGGAAAAATTACACACTTTAAGGCAAATACAAAGACGGAGAA